GCTCGCGACGCATGGATAAATTCGCGTTCAAATTCTAAACTAATGCAGGTTTCCGATGAACAAATCCAACGTCGAGGCAGTGCTTCTCAAACTAATATAACAAAAATATGCCATCAATTACTATTATATTTATGATCTCCGGTTCGTATATGTTATACAAGAAATTTTCCAATATATTTCAAGCAAAAGTCTAAATCTATAATTGGATGCCAAACATTTTCACTTTTGAAACATTCTCACATTTGTATCTTCTCACCTATCTTCTCAGTTTTCTACGGAGAAAATATTGTAATGAAAATTACCACACAATTTTATAATACTAGACCGTACCGGAATTATGATGTGTTTTATAAACTTTGATGATGTATCTTATATATATCACCAAAAATTACAACACACATAATAATGTCGATAATAATTCCGGTATAATCCAACATTGCAAAGTTTTGTAATAATTTTTACTACAATATTTAGTCTGTGCGACACCTGTAGAATATCGTTGAATTTTTAAAAGATGTTTCCAATTTTTAGCGACCACATTGAGTCATTTTTGAGTCGTCCAATGCTCGAAGATTACAACTCAGTCCATATGGTTACGAATGCCGCTTCCTTTTCTAGCGATTCGCTAGAGGGTCAGCGACCGATGCCGGCTTACCAAGCACCGCTTTGAGAAGCGCTGCTCTGGACGACGTCCTTGCCGCGGCAAGATTTGCGTGAGAAAAATCGGGAAAGCAATCGAAGCTTATCGAACGGCGCCGCTCGATTCCGTTCACCAGTTCACGCGACACCTTCGGCTCGTGCTGCCGTCCAACGAAACCCGGCTTTTCAGACCGGCCGAACGACCGGCTGAAAAGTGCAACCGCGGCGGAATACAGGCCCGACGGAGCAATTTGTATCGGTTCCGCTCGGTGCGTTAATGGATTCCCTTTCAATTTCCACCGAGAATCGCCGATACCGTGCGAGGACGCGATGATACAAGGACGCAACGCCGCGGCGGTAAGGGAAAAAAATAGAAACCGGACAATCTCCCGAGAATCTTCTCGGAGAAAGAGAGAAAGAGAGATCGCGCGTGGGTCATTAGAATGCGTCGCGTGCCTGCATTTCACTGCAACGCCTGGCGAGAAATAGATGCGCTCGCGCGCGAATCTATCGCTTTCGTCTCGGCGTAAGGTGACAGGCCTGTCACCAGACGGTTTACTTTTCCCGTTATTTCTATTTTTCAGCCCGTACTCGCTACAATTTATCGTCTGTCATCGTATAGCTCGAAAGGAGAGCGAATTCTTCCGACGAGATAGAATTGAATCATAACTCGCGAAATGATTTATAACGTCCATAGCGGTAACACTGTCTCAGTTAACGGCGAAGTTTCGTCACGCGCTTTAATTAATTAGACTCCCAAATAAGCAACGATGCACGCACTATTGAGATTATTGTTGAGATAAAGCCTCGTCCACTTCCGTTTCTTCAACGCGACCAACGTTACATTATCGAGGAAACACGCGCGCGCGATTTCATTTTCCGCGAGTTCCGCTTTTTCCACCGCGACCACGTCGGCGTCGGACAGCTCTATTTTTCGACGCGTACCGGACAACATACTAAATACAGGGTGTGAAACTCTATTCCGACTTGTATTGAGTAATCGCCACGATCGGGCCGTTATCAGTCGCGGATCTCTGACCGAATCCGCCGACTTTCTCGCGCGGTCGCACGCCCGTGTTTCTTTCCCTTTTTCTCGTTGACGACGTCACGGTAGACGGGCTGTTGGGGGGGAAAGTGTCCCGGTGTGACGGTTAGCCACTCCGGATCGCGCCAATGAATACACAACACCGTCACACCTGTCCTGCCGTGACGAATCCTTTCGACACGTTCGAGCCCACGGACGAGCGTGGCGAGCTTCCGCGTCGCGCCACTAACTTGTTGTCGATTTTTAATGAGAGCCCGAAGGACGGCGAACAATTAAGAGCGCTACCGAAGTTGATATTGGCGTTACTTAGGCCGGCGAGCAGTGCGACCAGCCGACTGAAAATGTCAGCCGAAGGAATGCGCCACGCGTGACGATCGTCGCGCCGCGTGTTACACTAATTAATTAGACTCGCACCAGCGGATGTGATTTTCATAATCCCGCGTAATTGTACCGACTGCTGCCGTAATTGCGCCAATCGATTATATGATATCTGCCATATCTGTCAGTATTAATACTCGTTTTATATGTTATGGTTGTGAGATGAATTAAATTTCATTGGAGCGGGGGACGTGTGTGCTGAGAACAAAGTATTAAAAAATTTATTTGTGGGAAATATAAGGTTTATTTCTGTAAAATAAACCTTACATCTCACAAATAAATTCTTAAGTCCTTTTTTCTCCTTCTGAAATTCCTCATTGAAAACCCCATTTAATTGAATCAGCAAAATTCTTGTTTGGATATGAGCAAACGAGAATTTTGTTGATTCAATTAAATGGATTTCTCAGTATGAGTGATTGAGTATAAATGAGACAGGCTTTGTTCGACAACGTATCGATTTGGAAATCTGTTCTTTGCAGTGTCTATTAAATCCCGGTTGCATGAGTGTCAACGATCATTCGTTAGAAACTTGTCCTTCTCAATACTTTGTTACAAAATTCCAATCGATCAATCGTGTCTTCGTGATCGAGGAAAAACGGGATTTCATCGGCCACGCGTATGTGTGTCGCGTGAAATTAAGCAACAGTTTCGCGAGATATTTAATGGGATGCCTGTTCGTCGAGCAGTGCACACGCGCACACGATGCGATAACTATTGTCACCCGTACGATTATTGTCGCAGCAGTGTCGACGCGACGCGACCACCCGAGTCGAAGTTTCAGTTCTGCATTAAGTTCAATGAAAAGTCTTCCGTCGTGCTCCTTTTCGATGTCACAAATGGGAAGCTATTTCCGTTTCTTCCGCTCGACGACTTAACGTAAGACTGAAATTTCGAGTGATGCGACAGAAATCGATCCAGGATCGTAGGGGGTGGCTTTATCGTGACGTCGAGGTTGATCGAGTCGGCGACTTCTTTATCACGCGTCCAGCCGCGGGACGCTACCGTGAGATTGGGCGGCTGTGTCCACCGACAATGCCGTTCGAAAGTCGGCCGCGGTTTTCGCAAGCGCGAAACACCGCGGCGCGCTATAGAAAGGGAAGTGCCAAGGTAAGTCGATCCGAGAGCCAGTGAATCGTTGCTCATTGCCAAGGTACGTCAAGGTACCCGAGGCCTGGGTGTGTCGGGACGATTATTAGCGAAATGGTCTCAGCGCGGGCGAAATCGAAAGGCTCGGCTAAGAAAGTGAGCTCGCGGAACAGCGACGTATTGCGGAGCATGTGCCGATGCCCGGCGTGTGCCGCACGTCGCTCGCACACACGCGTTCGCCGAACGTACCGTATGGTTACAAGCATGGACGGGCTTCGAGTGGACTCAGCCGTGACGTCCGCCGACGTGACTATTCTGAAACGTCTCACTTCGTGTCTTTTTAGTTGTTGATTTGTAACGTCGTTGCGCCTCTTCGCGAAATCGTCGAACTCCTAGTGCTCTTGTGTACTGTTTGCTCACTGGGAGTGACTTAATAGCGGAAAGAGAAAGAGAAAGTATAAAAGTATTTGAAATCATTCCAAACGTATCAGATTATTACCCTACTTTTTAAAAAGTAGGAATTATGTTAATGAACGACACTAGACGACGTTTACTTTCAAAATTAGAATTCCGCTTCGATCATAACGAGAGGAAACGTTACCAAACAGAAGCCGATGGACGGTTTAGCAAGAGCAGTCGTTGCCGAAAATTACCGTTCTAGGGAGGGTGAGGTATAAAACATACACATTGCCAGAGACAAATGATTTTTCATCTTCCTTCCACGTCTGTTTCGAATGGTAAAAACATTACAATATCATTCTTAGAGCTAATATTCTCCAGTCTTCGTACTTTCCGTTGCTGTCCGCGTGCCTACCGTGTAGAACGGTGCACCACCGGCGGTAAAGGATTACGCAGTGTTCGCCAATTTTCATCATCGCCTCGACCTTGTCCACACGGCGGAATGCCCCATCGATTTTCCCGTCCTTGCCAGACCCGACGGCGGAAGTAGCGTTTCCTCGTCGTGCCTTTGTAAGAATCCTTACCTTCGCACGGGTCGTAAATGAAACGCGGACAAACGGTCCACACACTATCCAGTTCGTAGAGCAGCCGAGAGCCGCGCGCCGTACACAGAGGCGCGGAAAGAGAACCGAGCGGAGTCGCGATCTTGGCTCGCTCGCACGCGAACCCCACCTAAAAACCCCCTTCACCTTCATCGGCCGCGACCGGCGCGCGCGCGCGAAAGGGGGGAAAATTTCGACGTCACCGTTTGGTTCGCGAGGGGCCCGCCGGACGTGTCGGACGATGGTATTTACCGCCTCGGTGGGACCGGAGGACCTCACCACCTACTTCACCACCCGAGCCCTGTCCGCCGACTCTCTTCCTCTCTCCACCTGAATAACCCGTACCGCCGGCGCGCCACCGTCGCCGGCACCGCCACCTCCGTTGCTCCGCGATCTGAAAAGGAGGTGAACGCGCGCGAGAGTGTACCATTGGGCAAGGAATTGGGGCAGGAGCCAATGGTAAGGAGCGCGAGGTGGAGCGATAGGTTTTAAATAGGTGTGCAGGGCCAGTGCGTGGATACGAGAGCAAAGCCGGTGGTGACCGATACCGCGGCGGCCACCGCTAGTATTAAATTCGGGATAAAAGTGTGGGGACCCCCTTGCCGACGGGTAGTAACAACCTGCCCGTAATCGTCCGCCCAGTAGTCCGTCCCGTCCCGCAGTTGTGGTGGTAGTTCCTACCCGGGGGATACACACGGCCGCGGTGTGAAACGTACCGAGAGGAGTGACGGTCCTGCTGATAGAGCGGCGAGCACAAAGTACGTCTCAGTCGACGCTGAGCCAGTGCCTCAGCAAGTCCGCTCGAGGCGGTAGAGAGTCCTGAGAGAGTCGCCTCCGGATCGCCACCGTTTCTCTATTTTCTATTCTGTCCCCTCGGTAAAGGCCGGCCATGAGGTCCCACGACAGCTACCGGGCACTCGTCGTGCTCGCGACGGTGCTCGCCCACATGCGCGGCACGCTCGCGGTACGCGTCGCAGGCAGCGCCAGCAGGAGGAACGGTGAGTCATCTTCTTTGCTCTGCTTCTCTCGTCTCGCCTCGCCTTGCCATTCTGTCTTCTTCCGCTTTCGCTACTTGTCCGCTACTTCTCATCTTCCGCCGCGAACGACCCCTTCCACGCCGCTTGCTGCGCCTCCTTCGTCCTGCCACCTGCTTCCTCCTTCTTCGTCTTCTTCTTTGCGAACGGCAACACGCTGTCGAGGCTATCGCCAGTTCATCTTCCACCGCCTTACTTATATTCTCGTTTCTCTTGCGGGATATCCGATGCCACGCACGTCGTCTGTTTTATCCTTGCCCTTTCCCTCTTCTCTCTTCGTATAGTTTTCTTTTCTTTTCTTTGCGAAAGGATGTTACAGGGATACGCTTTACTCGCTCAGCTTGCTCCACATTTCCCTCCACACCTCCTCTCATTTCATTTTTCACGAGAAGCTTCTTATATACTCCTTTTTAATGCTTCTCGTCTTGCTTCTGCCACTTCCTCGTGCATCTCGCCTCCCGCCCCCTTTTTCTCGTCTTCGAGCAGATGTAGTCGAGAGATATCCTTCGGCCTCCTTTCCTCATTTACCTTTCTTGTTACTCTCTCTTTCGCTTCTTCTTCCCACGTATCTCCCTCGTTAGCTTCCTCCGCTTGGGACGTGAATACCGGCAAATCAAGTGAAGTGTTGGGTTGTGTTAAATGCGTGCTACGATGACGAGGAATACGCAAGTGAATTCACGGTGTTGTGTCCATCGAACTCTGACGCGACCCAGGTGATGAGTTAAACGCGCCGAAACGGAATGTAATGACGGCTGTTCGACGTGTTGCAACGCGCATGTGGTTTGCTGCATCATGTTGCACGAAAAATAAAATCGCATATCCAGAGTTTAACGCATCTTCGGCTTTCGATACATCGTCGGCCTACTTTTATAACCGCCTAAAAAAAACACGGACGTGGAACACGGTCGCATATCTATGTAACAGCTCATGTTTCTTGAAAAAAAACGACGAAGCTGTATAAAATCTAGGACAATTTCTACTTCGCGATATCTCGTTTCGAAGATCTGAAAATAAAAATCGTGGGGTAAAAATGACCAAAAATAAAAGTCGTACATCGTACGTGTTGCGATTGTCATACGAGTTATTTTCAAAATTTTCACCTCCCTCCCACATTTGCGAGATCATTTATAGTGAAATTCTTCGACAAAATATGTTCGCGCGAATCTTATCGATATGGTCGGTTAAATGGATTCACCATGAAAATATTAACCTTGTTAATCCGTTCGTTTGCTGATTGGCTCGCAGGAGTTAACACGATTTGCCATATGTGGGGAGAAATGATTGGGTGTCTCTTCGACATCTCGTCTTTATTTATTTCTCATATATCAGAATAAACACATTAGCGAATCTGCTGAAGCGGCAAAATGCACCGTTACGTCCACCAGTTTAATCAAGCCGCTACTCCTTGACGACTCAAGCCGAGAATTTATTGCTTGATTTCCATTGACATAAATTCGTTGAAAATGGCGCTTCCGCGTGGATTTGGGTCGGTGACCGGTTCTCAAACAATGCCTTAATCCTTGGTAAAAGGCCAACTTAACTCAAATTGTAACCGTAAAACGTAACAGACGCCTGATCGCTGCCTATGAAAATAATTGCTATAATTATTACGGCAAGCGTGTCTAATCGCTCTACGCGTGGTAATTATTTTTCTAATCTACGGCCATCTCTCTAAGAGTCTTCGTGTTTTAACTCGAATTGATTCTCGCGCTGTGTCTTCCTCATCCTCTCTTTCTGCCCGGTACGCGCCGGATATCAAAGTTTTGCTTTCGATTTCTAACGCTGTCGATCGTAAAATAACTCGAGAATTCGACACGTCCTATTTTTACGAATATAAAGTCGTCGGATATCGACGATATTACTTCGCGTGCCAATTACAATTAAACGATAGAGATTGGTGATGATAGAGAACGGTAGAGAGAAAGTAGTGATCCTTTTGCGCGCGTCTTTAGTAAGACGCGAATTCGAACGCGTTTAATGTAGGGTGAAATGGCAAAGATCGAGCATCGTGATAACAACACCCGCAAGGTGTTTTGTGTATAATTAAATCCCTGCGAAAATAAACAGGTGTAATCTTAACATTCATTTAGTGATGCGCTCTACGAAGGAAAGTGGCTGGATTCATTAGTCACATTAAAGGAACTAGTCTTGACGAGAAAGGATACCGCGTGGAAAATTTGCGAAATAAATAGTTCGGATATTTTTGCATAGAAGGTCACGATATCGTTGAAAATTAGCGATAATCGCTTAAATACTACCGCAAATTGTAGACAAGCAGTCTACAATTTGCTCGCTCGATCCTGAAGAAATAATTATGTGGAACATACACGCCAGTAAGAGTCTCGCATTAGAGTTTTTATGTGATATTATTGTAATAATATATCACTAACAGGGATGTACAATATTCGAAATTATTGAAAATGAATGGCTAAATTTTTTATCTTCGTTTCACCCTCCGAATTCCAGGAAAACATCTTAAACGACAGATATATAAATTGGATATCTGGACGTGAACGAAAATTACGAGAAACTTCAATTTCTTCAACGATTTAACCCTCCGGTATGTCGGAGATTCAACGAAATATCGGGGAAAGTTTCAGAACACAGTCCTTTAGGCTCAGCCGAGCCCAACGACGTAAAATCTCGCGAACCTTCGACATATAGCGGAGTCCGATCGTGAAAATGTATTCGAGAGTTGTACGAGAGAGTTTAGCCGGGAATAAAATCGTGATTGAAACACGTCGTTTTCTTCATCGACCTGCCGTTCGTATTTCGTTACTTCGTTACATCGATCCGATGACCGATCCGTTCCTTTCCGCAATTAAGCGCAGTACATCTAACACATTTGGCTAAGTAGAGCGGCGCGGATTAATCGGCGATCCATATATTCTAAATTGGCCGGTCTCGATTACCGCGGAACGTAAACGACGACGATCGACCAGCGATCGTTCCCAATGTGGGAATCCGGACGCGTTTCCGTTCCGCGAAACACTCTCGCCTACAGTATCGGAATTTCTCAATTATGTCGTGACTATGAGAAACTTTTACCTGCAAATCGGCGATTTACCTGGCGTTCATTAATAGCTAAACTTAAATTTTGAAACGCGACCTAGAACTTCACTGACGCAAACTTGTGGAATCTTTGATTTCCTGAGCTTTTTTTAATTGAATTCGTGGTCCTAAAAATTGCGAGGGCTTGTGTTTTGATATTTATATTATTAACGATATTAATGTATATTAACTATATTAACAATACATGATCTTATTTAATGTAAATTCCACTTTACTCTTATCTCTTTCTTCATTTACTAAATTAACGTTAAATTAAAGGCAGTTGAAGCATCGGTAATACAAATCGATTAAGTTACATAGCTTGATTTAAAGATCTATCATTTGAAAAATATTTTAATATTTTAACAATACACGAGAAAAATAATTTGCTGGCACAGCAAATTTTATATTGTCGCTACAAAATCTCTCAATTAACGTGTCTTAAGGACAATTACATTCAGCAAAATATTTTATATCTTGACAACAAAAATGTTTCTGCTCTGATTATGAATAACTTGCTAATTTGTGATCCAATTATTTTTAAATTTTATTGCTATCTCTCTCTCTTTCTCTCTCTCTCTCTCTTAACGAATATTCAATAACAACGATGGTTGGTTACAACAGCCAAACAATTTTTCTCCTTGTATATGCACACACATACACACACACACGCACATATATATATATATAAAATGATATGAATAGATCAAATGCAAGTTTTAGCAATATTGCTCTAAATTCGATCGAAAATCGGCTCAGTTCGCATTTTCGTCACTTCAACTATTACTTCCCAGACTTGGAAACGTGTATCGCACCGTGAACCTTCGAACGCGTTCCATCGCTATAAGAACGGGTCCGACGCGGGGGAATCGCGAGTGTTTTCTAGCGTAAGCGCCTTCGTCGTTGGCATTGCCACCAGAAATGGCTTTTCAACGAGCGACGGGCAGCATGCCAGTGCATATAACAGTTCACCGCGGACTGGCTAAGCAACTTGTTCACCTACATGCAGCAGCCGCTCACACGCCGCGAGATCCTTCCGCGCGCCGCGTTCGTTATCGCCGAATGATTGCCGGCTGGTATAGCACGTACGCGAAGTCGGTCACTGTCTTTAAATCAGATCGCCTGACCACACAGAAATCGATGATTTAAGTGCAAGTATCTTAAGATTTGGCACAATTCCAGTATGAAATCCACTTTACGTGACTGAAAGTCACTTTACGCACGTGTGAAGTAAGTGTATCTTATTTTGGATTTGTGTCCAATCGTGACAAAAAGCGGAACGCGGACAATTGCGCGCCAGATATATGAGTGTAATTTGAAACACGTAACTTGAAATACCGACGACTTCAAATTAAACGAATTTCCTTCTTCCCGTCATGTAAGTCTCCGAATTTATATTAGGAGCTGCGAGAGGCGCAAGTGCAATTGCGTGTCAAGATCGGCTTTAATATTCGACAGGAAGACATATCAAAGTAACCAAATTTTTTTCTAGATGACTGCTGAACCAGTGGTCAAACCATAAAGAAAGAAAAGCAAATTTTGGATTGTATGAAACTACTCTTGAGAGAGAGAGAGAGAGAGAGATTTGTGCAGGATATGTTAAGTCAATCAAAAAGTTTGGGTCAATTTTGAATCAAATTTGTCTTTGCATTCAATGGAAATAAATCATTTATCACTTACATAATTAATGGAAAATTCGAATCAAACTTTGTGACCGATCCAATAGATTTTTTTACATATATTCTCAATCAATTATCTTTTTTGATCAATTTACGTAACTGACTTTTCGGTTTCACTATAAAAACAACTCAAACCCGTTTCAACGGTGACAAGCGATGTTGACTTATCAGACCATGGTGTGTTCGAGCTGAAGTGGCTTCCTCAAGAGTATTACAACTAGTTTTCTACGTGTT